CCTGGTCACCTGACCTGGCTTTCACCTGTCTTTTGTAGACACCAGTCCTGTGGGTATTTCCCCAGTGGGCCACTCCTCCTCTTCCTCCTCCTCCCTGCTGACTCGGCAGCTTCAGGAGAGCTGGAGGAGTTTGCGCGGACTCAGTGGAGGAAGCTCGGTGTCCTCTGTGAGATGGCAGACGGACAGCTTGTTGTTCGAGGTGACCGACGCCAGCGTGGTGCAGGACGGCTCCTCAAAATATGTGGTGAGTTGGCAAAGAGAAAAAACTGTAACATTATAACCAAAACAGACATAAAAGCTTCCAAATCCAGGCACTCTAGATTTGACAAAGACCTTTAATTTATTGATCTTAGGACAAACAAATACACCGACAGGTATCAGCTTGTTCCTTCTTCAGGCTGCTGAAATACAAAGATGCCTACAGAGCAGTTTGAGCTTCAGGGCCAGAGAGAGCCCCTGACTCTTGTATCTTCTCTGTGTGCTGGTGCACATCTATAGATCTCTGATCAGAGTCACGTATACGTAATAGTCTCTGTCCACAGGTGAGGTTTTAAATGTGGGACAGATCTGTGCGCCGTGGAGCTCAAACTCTCTGCTCTCCGTTTCTCTCCAGCTGTACACGATCCATGTGATCCAGTCTGGCGCGAGCGATAAGATTCCCGCCATCATCACGCGTCGGTACTCTGACTTTCGGCGCCTCCATGCCACTCTTCGCCGTAAACACGGCGAGCACATGGAGCGTTTCTGTTTCCCACGTGAGTAAACCTCATGTACGCTGTCTTACCTTGATGCTGTGGTTGTTACAGTACAGGGAAGTAAGAACTTCATAAAACATGAACGTTTGGTTTGAAACTTCGCAGGAAGAAAACTCAGGAGGAACTTCACAGCAGAGACGATCGCTAAGCGGAGCCGGGCGTTTGAACAGTACCTGTCTCACCTGTGTTCCCTGCATGCCCTGCGGGGGGCGCTGTGTGTCCGTCAGTTCTTCTACTTAACCGACTTGGAGACTGGACAGCTGCTCATCAGGTAACTCTCATAAACCTCTGTCTCCTCACCTTTATCCGTCAGTGTCGTGTAAGAAAACTTAACAGGAACAAAGTGAAATGATCAAAATGCTCTCAGTGCTGAAATGTTACTGTTTCTATTACGCAGATAGTGAAACAAAAAAACAAAGAAGGTATTTAATAGATTAATAAAACTTTGAGTTAAACAATTGAGTCATAGCTACAATATTTGTGCAAATTAATTACGCTGTGTGGTCAAATATTAGAGGAAATATGTCCAACATGAACTCTTTGTTGATCAGTGTTGGGTCACTACTCAAAAAAGTAATATATTACACATATTACAAATAACTAGGGATGGGTATC